TGTAATATAATAATGCATAAACATATACTATAACATGGTGCCGGGCATCTGAGGGGGCCCCCGCTGTTGTCACTTTTCAAACATTTTACAGGGGGGACCACAAAACGCTGAAAAACGAAACTTTAGCATCAGGAGCAATTTCATCATCATCATCATCATCATGATCATCTGCTGCATGTGTGCAAGTGCATGAGAACGTACAGCAGCGTAGCATGACGTATGTGTGCAAGTGCATGAGAACGTACAGCAGCGTAGCATGACGTATGTGTGCAAGTGCATGAAAACGTACAGCAGCGTAGCATGACGTATGTGTGCAAGTGCATGAGAACGTACAGCGGCGTAGCATGACGTATGTGTGCAAGTGCATGAGAACGTACAGCAGCGTAGCATGACGTATGTGTGCAAGTGCATGAGAACGTACGGCAGCGTAGCATGACGTATGTGTGCAAGTGCATGAGAACGTACAGCAGCGTAGCATGACGTATGTGTGCAAGTGCATGAGAACGTACAGCAGCGTAGCATGACGTATGTGTGCAAGTGCATGAGAACGTACAGCAGCGTAGCATGACGTATGTGTGCAAGTGCATGAGAACGTACAGCAGCGTAGCATGACGTATGTGTGCAAGTGCATGAAAATGTACAGCAGCGTAGAATGACGTATGTGTGCAAGTGCATGAGAACGTACAGCGGCGAAGCATGACGTGTGTGTGCAAGTGCATGAGAACGTACAGCTGCGTAGCATGACGTATAACGTACAGCAAATGACGCTATTATCCCACCCCACACAAAAAAAAAAAAAAAAAAAATAAAAAAAAAAAAAAAAAAAAAACAAGAAAAGAGGAGACGGGAGGGGGGGGGGAGGGGGAAGGAAAATACGGAAAAAAGCGGGGGACAACGAAGAGGCCCGGCGGCCAACCGAGAAAACAAGGAAGAGAGGGGCCAAAGAAGAAGAGAAAGATGAGGGAAAGAGAAGAAAGAGAAGGGGAAAAGAAAAAAGAGAGAAAAGAAAAGAAAGTAGAGATAAAGGTAGTCAAACCGCAAGAGAGAGAAAATGATAAAAGAAAAAAGAAGGAGCAAGAGAGAAAAGACGAAAGGCAAGCATATGACCGAACGAAGAAGAGAAACATAGAAGAGAGAGTGAAAAGAGTAGAAGTATAGAGAGAGAAGAGAAGAGGAGAAAAAAATAAAAATCTATCGGAGGGACTAGAAAAGGAATAGGGCGAGAGGAGAGTAGAAGAGAAAAAGCTATATAAGGGAAGAGAGAAGGGAAGGAGAAGCAGAATGCAAAAGAAAGAAAACTCAGTCGCGAGCGAGCATAGAGGACGAAGAGAAGAGGGAGAAATAGGGAGAGAGAAAAAGACGAGGAGAAAAGAAAAGAAAGAAAAAGAGGAATTTTAAGAAAATAAAAAGAGGTAAGATATATGGAGAAGTAGAAAGGGGAGGAGGAAAGGATCTTGTTGTGGCAGAAGTTGTTGCCCTGAGATGACCGTCCCAGTGACCGCCCCAGGCCATTTTCCCGGAAGATGGTCTTTGGTATGACTGCGTCGGAAGCCTAGACTCTTAGACCTGGAAAAGTTCTGTTTCCTTTGGGCGGAAGAGACGAAGATGGACGAAGTTCAGCGTTTTGCCAGGTGATCACGGAACAGACTGAGAAGGGTTACAAGTCTCTTGGCTACTGCAAGGCCGCAGCTGGTGAGATAACCACAAACCACTGCTCTACCAAAGTACCAGAGATAGATGGTGTTAGTAACTAGTAGAGTCGTGGGGTCCTCTAGCGGTATACAGGTGGTTTTACCATGTCTTACCATAAGAAATCAGGATTTTTGCATAGTCATGGATAGTCTAATAGTCAATTGGTAACTTTTCCCACTCCAACGCGGGGATTTCCCATGGTACCTTAACATCTTAGGACCCCACGGCCCTAATATTTTCCTGCCCAGGATCACCTTCATCGATTACGGCAGCAAGGCGGAAGTGAAGTTTGACCAGATCCGGCTGCAGAGTACGGGCAAAGTGGGTCAGCAGAAGCGAACCATCAAGGAGGTGCCCACTGCGATTTTCTCGAAGCCCCGGGCCGCTGGAAAGTTGGTTCTTCAACATGTTTTAACTTGCAACAGTCAACATCTAAATGGTGGGGAGGCCCATGGCTGGCTTGAGCATCTCTGTATTTCACAGGAAAATCAACAAAACAATGGGGATGTTTCATTGTTATGCGTCTGTATGTTGCCTTCGGAGGCTGTGAAGCAAAGTTTGGTACCCCAAAGCCACAGGTTTCAACCCATCCAAAAGGCAGCAGTGCACGTCTTGGCAGGTGACAACGCCAGCTGGCTACAAGATTCCTGAGAGCATGCAGATTCAGCCGCTTGCAAGACATCAGCATGGAAACAACAACTGCCAACAATATATACAGAATTCAGAGTTGGGGACTTATGTTTCTTTCTCCAATGGAAAGCATTGTATTCTCAAAGACTTCTGCCAGCCAATCCAGCCACTTTTTCGC